CAGCTGAAGAGAGATTTAGTGAACTGGAAAATAGGTCAGGAGAACTATCCAGCACAGATTAAGAAGAGAAAATACATAGAAAACTTCAAAGTCACAGTGACAAAGTCCAACGTACATTTAACTCAAGCCTCAGAAGGCCAGGAGAGAGACAATGAAACAGAAGAAATATTTGATGAGATATTGGATGAGAATATTCTAAAATTGATAAAAACATCAATCTGGAGATGTTGGGGCCCAAAGAATCCAAAGCAGGATAAATAAAAGAAATTCTTAGCTGAAAACATCACAATGAAATTTTGGAAAACCAAAGACAAAGATAAAAATCTTAAAATCAGTCAGAAAAATGATCCTCAAATAAGCAGCAACTAAACTGATAACTAACTTCTCAAAGGTAACTTTGGAAGCACAAAGCAGTGGAATTACTTCTTCAATACACTCAAAGGAAGTAATTGACAGTCTAGAAACCTATACCCAGTGCAAATATCCGTTATGAATGAAGGCAAAATAAACACATTTTAAGATAACAAAAACATGAGAGAGTTCACTTCCGGTAGATCCAATCTAATAGGATTTCTCAACATGTAGCTGAGGCAGTAGGAACATTATACCAGGAGAAAGCTCAGAAATATAGGAAGGAAAAAGAGAAAATGAAGTAATAAAAATAGTGGGTAAATCTAAACGAAAATTGTATATAAAATAAAATATTCATAATTTTATAGAATATGGCTAAATATACACATATAAATGTATAAAGCACGAATCTTTAGTATATTCTTTTTACACATATATAATTAAAATGCATCACAACAGTATCAGATCCATCAGGAGGAATAATAAATAGAGGTAAAGTATTGTAAGTTCTTTGCATTTTCTTGGGGTAAAATAAAGATATCAGTTAATACTAGATTTTAATAAATTAAAGATGCATGCTAAAGGGTAATCATGAAAATAATAGATATGGAGCATATAACCTCTAGAGGAGCAAGATTGGAATTGCCAAAAGTAACCAATCTAATAGAAGGTAAGATGAGAGAGAAAAAGGAACATAGAACTGGCATGACAAACAGAAAGCACACAAAAAGATAATAGGTTTAAACCCACATATGTGAGTAATTTAATATAAATGGAGTAAATGATCTAACTTAAACATTTCTGGATTGAATAAAACGAGAACAAAACTCAGTTATATGCCATGCACAAGAGCCGTGCCCCCAGCAACACAAGGACAAGTCCTGGCCTCAGACTCCTGCTTATCATCACTTTGTGCAGCCTGATAAAGAAATGGTGTGAACTCAGACTTATTAATACCAAATGAAGACATACATTCACATGAGAAAAGACAGAAAATCCTACCTGAACCTGGGCAATGTTTCCATTTTAAGAAGACCAATGAAAGTACTTTTGTTTTTAAAAGAATTATCAGAGGAACAGAAATTACTTATAGTGAAAGCTCTGAAAAAAGTTTCAAGAAGGTGAATGGTCTATTCCCAAAACTAGTTTTATTCTTCTGTCCTTTTATCCTCCATTTCCTTCTTAACAATTTGAAGGACACTAACAGCAGAACATAACAGAACTTTGATTATAATGTTGCTGGTTTATTTTCTCTCAAGCTTTTTCCTATTTTTATGAACCAGAAAAGATAGATTTATCTAATTTCCATATATATTATCTCTCTTGTATTTAAAAGTAATAAAGGGAATTCAGATATTAACTGAAATTGCTGTCTGAATAAGCTACCATTTTAAATTGGATGCCTTTCAATTCCTCCCCAATTTCTGTCACTTCTCAGACACGTAAAAAGAGTTAGGAGAAAACATTTTTCCGTGAATACTTCAAATTTCTGAAAAATTTAGATTGCCCATTACCATATAGATACAGAGGAGATTTAATTTGTAAATAGAGCTTAGATTTTACTTTAAGTTAGCCAGTAATCATAAAGCTTGAGGAAATCTAGTCCTAGTTGTGCCTTTGTTATGAATTATTCTGTAACTCAATGGTTATATTCTTTCCACTGTGGTAAGGGCAAAGTTCTATTAGCACAGATGGAGATAGTAAGTAGAGTCTACTCATAAAACTTTCTTTCTGAAATGCATATAGGATCATACGCCCACTTGCTTAAAATGTTCACTCCATTTCTCTCTTTCTTTGCTGTGGAATCTTTGAGGGGCTGCTGATCTCATCTCCCCTGTGAAAATTTCTTTTTCTTATTCTCCAGCTTTGCAGAAAGTCATTCCCTCATTTTGGCTGCCTTAATCAAGCCTTTATTTTACCATATTTTATTGCTTTTTAAATTTCAGGGAAAAGGAAAATGCACCAGAGATTTTACTTATTGTTTTTAAAATTCTAACCACACCTTCTCTAAATAAACATTACTCCCATTTTATACACAAAGTACCTAAGATTCATAAAACATAAGAAATTTACTGGTGGTCTTTCATGTGTGAGTTGATAGAAATTTGGGAGAGATTGAAATGTGTACAATTTCAAAAAAGAGCTTATGCAGGGAGTGGTTACCAATGAACTGAGTTTCCTTTATTTGTTTCTGTTACAAAATAAACACACGTTGTATCCTCCTAAAAATTCAGACCAGTCTGGCTCCAATGCTTTGCTATAGATCAAACTATGAGCCTGGAGGTTGTTAGAGAACTTCAGCTGGTTGGGATGCTGTTCACCATGAAGTAGAGAAGAATTCAGCATTTAGGAATTAGGATCTCAGCTTCACTACCACTGACTTGGGCAAACAACTTCATTTTATCATTTGTAAAATGGAGACGTTACTCAAACTGAAAAAAAAAATTTTGTTTTTTGCTAAATACAAAAACTTCCCTGTCGTCTGTGGGGAGGTTCTGACTTGCCGTTAGGCCGACCTCACCCCTTCATCACTGATGGTTAAATCACCTCTGAAGCTCCACTGAGCACTTCCTGTGCGTTGAGCATGGTCTGAGCTCACTTTGTATCATTTTATCTGCTCTATAAATATATGAAAATTCAGGCTGTGAAAAAAAGTAGAGACAATTTCAATTCCTAAGCCTGAAAAAGACATTTATTTGCATGTTTTTGTTGGAGAAATACTCTACATACACCTATTACTTATGTTCAATCAGAATAAGAATAACATGAATGGTCTTTGGGGATGTCTGAGAAAAATGGGCTTTGTGTGGAGTTTTCCCCACCAAGAAGAACATGGTCCCAACTATGCAGGCACAGGGTATATTCTTGACAATTAAACAGCTTTGTTGGTCCTGCAGAGGTCCTAGGCTTCTCATCATGTACCTTTCATTCATCTGACCAGCGGAATGGACCTCTTGGCTTTTGTGCAAAATGCTGAAAGATTGAATCCTCATGTCAGTAATTTCTGGTTGCTTGGAAACAATTCTCATTTTGTCACTGTGAAGGAATTTAGGTCAGCAGTGAATTAATCCGTTACAAATTAGAGATATACAGCTAATCATGGATTCTAAATTGTCCTGTTGAATATAGGGACTGTAATAACGGTTCTCTTGTTTTTTTCCCTGGATGAGACACAAATTTAAAGGCTATAAGCCAAAGACATTTTCTAAAAATGAGCAATATCATTTTATAGCAAGAAATGTCTGGCTGCTTTTATCAAAAAGACCCAGTGCTTCTGACCACCCACAACCAAAGGCATAGTTCTTTTTTCACCTCACATTAGTAACATATAGCAGCGAAGAGGGAGAGGAAATAAAATTAATTGTGTCTCTATGAAGTACTCTAATTCTAAGAGAAAACAGATGGTATTTCATATCCTTCAGTCTGATAAGAACAGCAGAAACCACCATTTGAGAAATTTCACAGGAATTTATTTCAAGTGAAGAATTTTGGTAGGAGATGAAGAGGAAGATTTCCAAGTTGTTTCAAAATCCATCCAGCACAGCATGGGTGGAGAACTGTGCCAGTCCCAAGGTGAAATCAATTTGGCATGTTCAAGGTTAAGACTCCTCTTTCTCCCTCTCCAGGAGGCGGGTAACCAAGACTGGAAAAGCAGGGGAGAAAATCAAATAAAGAGTCCTTAGTTCATCTGACACAGGAACAAGAAGTCACTTTGGGTGGTGAGAGCCAGCATGTGCTTGTGCCCCCAGAAGTCAGTCTCCTGAGATTTGGGACAGAGGCCTATAGTTGCCAAAGTTTTCTCTCTACTTCCAGGATCGGGTAATCTTGTGTGGTAGAGTAAGATCTAATGTTTGCATTCTGGCACATTATTCTTGAAGAACATTGCCTTCTCAAGAAGTCACAAACTAGATATTAGTGGTAAGCCACTCTTCTGTCTCTCCTGTTCTGGTTCTTTCAAGGGAACTGGTTTGTCTAAGACCAAACAAACCCTCACTGAAACCTCTTTAAACTCTACCACAGCCAGTGTGGGTGTTCTATCTTGGGGATCCATTTTAGCTGACTCCTGAATACCTGTCCTCTTCTCTTCATGCTCAGCATTCCTGGTGTCCTTAGTTTCCTGGCTTTGGCTATTGGCCTTGATTCCTCTTCTTACCGCCTTTGACGGAAGAACAAATTTGGATTTCTTCTACCTTAGCTCCCTTTCAGGATATGTCTGCTGTTACTTGCATTTTACTCTACAGGAAGGCAAATACTAGTGACAGTCACCTGTGAGATCCATGTCATGGATCCCCTGTTATCTGGTTGTCTCCAGCATTAGGGAAAGCAGGCAAGACGATACTACCCAGAATGCCCTGGGAGAACACGTTGTCAGGTGTGACTCTTGAAGTACTAAACACATACAACCTCTTATAGCTCTCTTCTCAACAATGGTTAATAATAATTAACAAAAACAGCTGCAATTTATTGAGCAGTTATGGATACAAGGTTAGATATTTTACATGCATTAGTTCATTCAAACTCAAATCCATTTTACACACGAAGAAACAGAGTCCTGGAAAGTCTAAGTAACTTGTCCAAGGTCACACCACTTATAAGTGACAGGGAAGCCAGGATCTAAACACAGAGTGAGTGCCTATGTGACTCTTTTAAGGGAGTTTAACTATCTCAGGAGCCTTATCAAAAAGAGCTTTCCCTCTCTCTTCTGTTCTTATGCCTCTTGCTCTGGTTTGGCAAGCCTCATTTATTTCCCACAGCCTCAGACCTGGATACCTTCTCACACCATTAGATTGAAACTTCGGTTCTATTTGACAGGATTTCAGTTTAGGTTCCAAACTTGGATACTTCCTTTCAGACAACGTTTGGCTTCAAGCTCTGCAGCTCACAGCCCAGTCTTGCTCTTTCTCCATACCAAATCTAGGCCCCCAAGACCCCGGGCCCTGAGGGTTTCCTAGATACTCCCACTTGTCCACAGGAGTAGGGGCAATGGGGCTGACCTAGTTTAAGAGAGAATCAGGCATGGCCAGGAAAGCAGAATGCAGGCCTTTTCGAGAGACTCGCCTTGGACAGAAACAGTCTCTGTAAATTCAACACAGCGACTTCCTTCATGACTCTTATTCCTTTCCTCTTTTCCAGAGGCAGAATGGTGAAGCAGAGAGAGAATGGGCTTTCAAGTCAGACAGACCTGGATGTGAACTATGGAACTATTACTAAAAAGTTGTATGACTCCAAGTAATTTACCTGAGGAATTTGAGGTTCAAGTATCTCAACTGTAAAAACTTCTAGAAGATGTTTGAATTAAATAAGATGATCTGTATGAGGCAGCTACATGGTTTCTGAATGACAGGGGCTCAAAAATATTAGTTTGGTTTCTTCTTCCCAACATCTGTCCCATCTAATCTTGGCTCTAGCCCCTGGGTAGTAACTGGGCACAAGAATTAGCTTCTGTGTTATCCTTTCCCTATTGCATGTATTAATTTTTACTCACAAGCAGCAACAACATCTAAAACATTAAAGGTAAATATTGGTACCTTAAGGTAAATACTAATACCTCTTCTTATTTCAGCTCCTATACACCCCTCAAATCACTCACTGACTCTTCCCACACCCCCAAAGACTTCCAGGTCTCTTGAGTTGCATCTAGCTATTGAGAAGCAAAGGTTGAATAAGGCTTAACCTTCAGAAGGTTATAATATTGGTCTTGATCTTTGTGCTTAAAAAAATACCACTCTCCCTACTTCTTCCACGTCTGTTCCAATCTTATCATTCCTTCTCCTTTACTCACTTGTTTGGTCATAAACTAGTCTGGCTGTTGCTGTGAAAGTATTTTTTAGACGTGACTAATATTTAAATCAGTAAATTTTGAGTAAAGCAGATTATTTTCCATAATGTGAGTGAGTCTCATCTAATCAGTTGAAGGCCTTAAGAGCAAAGACTGAGGTTTCCCAGCAAAGGAATTGTCCTAAAGATTACAGCATAGAAATCCTGCCTCAATTTCCATCCTGCTGCCCTGTGGAACTCAAGACTGCAACATCAATTCTTGCCTGAATTTCCAGCCTGCTGGTATGCCCTGCAGATTTCAGGCTTGCCAGCTCCTACAATCACATGAGACAATTCCTTAAAATAAATGAATCTCTCCTTCTCCCTCTCCCCCATATATATTTTCTATTGGTTCTGTTTCTTTGGAAAACCCTAGGACACAGGATAAGCTGTATTCTAAACACCCAGGGAACTTGTTGAAAATGCAGATTTGGTGAACCCACCTTGTCTCTGAGATAGGATCTAAGAATGCATATTTTTAAACAAGCTCCCCTCCCAGGTGATTCCGATACATGGTAAAGTTTAGAAGCCACTGTGCTAGAATAATAACAGCATGAACGTGGAGCTCCTTCTATATATGCGTCAAGCATTAGGTTTATTATCACTTCTAACCTTATGCAATCCTTATAAGAACTTTATGAGATAGGTGATATTAATATACGTATAAATCAGATGAAGCTATTAAGGGTCAGCTGGGCAGATAGATTAACACCCTCAATCTAACTGGGATTTTCTATCTGCTCAAATCAAGAGTTTCTACATAACTACTGGCTGCCAGCAGTCCAAGAACTGCTATAAAGTCTACCAAATTGATACTTTTTGTGGAAATCTCAAAAGACCTTTCTTAAAATTTTCACCTCGAGCTGGGTCTACTCCAGAAAGACTTCCAAAGGAATTAAACACTCTATTCCTCAATGCAAATGATAGTTTTCAATGTATTCATTGCACCATTTTTTTCTTACAGCTAGAAAAAACTAAGAAATCAATTGAAATAATCCCTTTGTTTTATAGATTAAGGAAAGAGACTTAGGTAGGCTAAATGGCTTAAAAAAATTGGAGAGGTTGAAATGTTTAACCATTTAACTATTCTCATTTGTTTAAAAATATTGATAAAAATGGGGGGGCGGAGTCAGGATGGCGGCGTGGGCGGACTCTGGGCTCGCCTCCTCCCGTGGACGCAGCCAGTTTGCAACTGCTCGTGGAGGGGTTACCCCTGGGACGGAACTGAGGGCTGGATGGGGGGAACTCCTGCAGCAACGGACGGTCCTAGCTGGGGTGGAGGAGGCGGAGACTCCCTTCCGGAGAGGGGAAACGCCGCCTTCGCAGGCCGCCAGCTTCGCGGCCGCTGGGAGCGGCTCGCGGGTGCCACCCTCCCTGGGGGCGCGGGGTCCTGGGCCAGGGAGCGCCCCCGCTGTGGGCGTTTTGTGGACCCAGCACAGTCGACACCAGTGGCATGGTGTCTGACTTTGCCTGCTGCTAGAGCGTTGGGTGGCGCCCCCGGAGAGCCCGGTTCACAGGGAAACTGAGGCTGGCTCTTGAAGGGCCTGCGCACGGGCTCGCCCATTCCAGAGAGCATCCTGAAATCACCGGAGAGAGGGGTGCACAGTGCTTCGGTGACAGGAGACTCGCCTGATGGGCCCTGGGTGCATCTCGGTGGGGGGTGGGACCTCTCCGGGGACTGGGACGTTGGCGGCGGCCATTGTTGTGGCCTGGTGTGAGCGTGCTGGCGCGGACGCCATTGGAGTTCTCCCTGGGGCCTGCTGGCCCAGGGTCTGCTCCACCCGCTAGAGCGCCGATCTAATCCAGCTCAGCCAGGGCAGGCAGCCCACCCTAGAGACTAGCCCCACCCAACAACAAGCCCTCAGGCAACGTGTGGGCCTGCATAGATTGGTGACTGGATTCTCTGCAGCCTGGCAACTGAGCTGACTTGAGCGGGGCAGGGTGTGCA